TTTCAAGTAGGACTGCTGAGCCCCAGGAAACAATGACTATTTCCCATGCTAGAACTCTCCTTTACACACTTTGTATTATCAGTGTCAGTTTCACCACGGTGAAAACTGCTCTTAATGATGTCAGAAGTGCCTGTTAAAAGGTTAATAGCCCAGCTGGACAACGATAGTCAAATACAGGCAAGCTGAGGAACTCTACAGGAAATCCTCAAGGTAAATCTGTAAGCATTTGTTTGTCAAAGAAACATCCTCTGTTAACCAAACCACCACAGCTGCCGCTTCAAAAAAAAGTTAGCATGGCTAACTCGATGCTACCCTGACAGAGAGACAAGCAGCAGGAGAGAGAACATCAAGACACAGCAAGAAGAAAAATGAAAAGCACAAAACCAAAGGGTTGCCGGTGAAGATGCCTCTCAGGCCTGATCCCCAGCTGTCCTCTGGCTTGTCCTGCCATTCTGGACAGAATTCCATCGCTCTGGCAGACTGGTGCTACCAAACCAGTGGTGCTGGAAGTTCTTGGGTTTCTTTCCCTGCAATCACCATGTTGCTGCCCTGCCCGCCGTGGCTTTCCAAGTCAGTGGCTTAGTTTCCACAGAACAGCAGTGCTGAGCTAAAAATCTTGCTGCTGCTGAAAGGGACAATCCTCCCTGTTCCTGATCATGTGCTCCCATTAGTTTCCTTCTACTAATTTCCTTCCTTTTCCACTGGTCAAAATAATGCAGCAGCAGCAGAAAATATTAATAATTTCCTGTCACTTTAGGAAGATGAGTTAACTCACCCCAGTGTGTTTCAAGGAAAAAAAAAAAAAGCTTATCTGGGGTTATAAAATATGGTTCCATAACAAAAACAATCAATACATTTCCTGTATTTGAAAATAATTTATAACCAGAAACTTCATTGCCAGATAATTTCTTTTATCAAAGGAGGAAATATTTTAAAAGCCAAAACATCGAAGGTGTTCACATTTGAAAAACCTCATGGCAGAGATCACGTTTCTCATCCAAAGACTCAATGTCAAATTTTTTAATTTTAAACTCCTCTAAAAGAACAACTGTGGCAAAGAAGCATAAAATACTTTTTTTTCAAGACAGATTACCAAGCATATCCACGTCCTGATGCATTTGGGAAAGGAGGATATGGTGTTCTTAGATTCCAGCTATACTGATATAAACCACTGAAAATTCAAGTGAGTTTATTGTCAGTCTGGAATCGTTGCTGTGTAAAGGATCTAAACCCAGTGCTGCTTAACAATCTCTGCTTGTCTAGTAACAAAGATAGGGAAAAAAACATCTAGGAGTAAAGTCCAGATTCCTGGCAGAAGAGGAAAAGATGTGTAACCAGAGCCCAGAATGAGATCAGTGTTCTTCTTCCGCTTGAACACACCTAAACCTGTTTGTCGAAGAAACTCAATCACTTCTATCACTTCCAGTGAACCATGGAGTGAAAGAATCGCAGCGATCGGCCACAACAAGTATCTGAGACTCCTATAAAGTCAGTGCCTTAACGAGGACGATAATTAAGGGATCAGAAGAGGAAAAGTCCAGATGGCCTCTGAAGCCAGAGAGGAGCAGGTTTCCTTACCTCGGAGCTGTACCCCCAGGAAGAGCACAGCGCCCAGCCACCTGGGGCCGGCCATCAGGAAGAGAAATCCGTACTCCACGGGTTGAACACTGCCAGAAAGAGAAATTCTTTTCAGGATCTTGATAAGGGGATGAAAGATGAGTTTCTCAAAGCCTTCCCAGCACAGTAGAGCAAATTCCTTTCTCTCAGCTTGGCCTGCGAGGCAATCAATGTGAGTGCTCCTTCCTGCTTGAGTCAGAGAGCACTCCTTGTGTGGAAAGGCAAGGTGCGGCCAGCACAGCTCCCTTCGGTCCCTACCACAGGGAGATTTCCCAGGTAAGTTTAATTTCTTCTGCCTCCCATATTCCTTTGCTCTTTTGTGTTGCAATCATCCCTCCTCCCAACTTCCACTTGAAACCACTCCCCTCTTGTGGGAGGTAATTTTGCTCCTAAAATTAAATTTGCCTTAAGGTGTTTACAAATAGCCTGAAGGAATGAGGGCCATTTGTTTGGCAAAAACCTGCCAACAGTCCAAGAAAAGCACCCCAAAACAGGCAGCCTGTGGGAGCAGTGTGGACATCCAGAGGATGGAAATGTCCTACTGAAACACAGATACCTGCAGTAAAATGAAGTGATTGTTTTAATGGTACTTGTTTGCAGCCATCCCGCAGAAGAACTGGGTCAAAAGTCAGTTGCATCGGACACGAATCCAACCCGATGGGAGTCCAGGCAAAGCTGGGTAGTTCCCACTGTCTTTAACAAGCAGCACAAGGTCCTAGAGAAACTCAGTGTGACACAAAATACTTTCCTGGTGGCACGTGGCAGTTGTGAGAGCGTGACACTGAGTTGTGCGTGTGTGTTGGCAAAATAAGGATGCTTTGCATTCGAAGACTGTAAACCACTTTAGCAGCAGAACCTGCTGCTGCCGGTGGCTGTGTTTGTGTTTGGTCCCTGGCCTAGTTCCAAGAATTCATCCCAGGTTATGAGCTTCTGTTGTGACTGATGCTAATTTTCCTTGCAGTGGTGCCAAGGCAGGGACAGGGACAGGGAGGATGCCCTAACCTCTAGATGTTTTGGAGGGTCCCTGGCTCCCTTCAGCTCAGAGCTAAGGAGCAGAGTGAGGGCACTCTCGCTGCACAGCAGCGTGGGCTCCGATGGGGATGTTTTGGATTACCTGGGACACACTGAGATGATGTCAGAACTGGCCAGAACAAGGTTTTGATGGAAAAAGCACAGCAGCAGGACTCTCAGAATTCCTGCTCATGAGCAGGCACGTGGACATCTCTCCTTCCATTTGCTGTTAAAACATCCCTGTGTCAGTTTCCAAGGAGAACACTGGTTTCATTTTTAACTTTGAAACTCTAAGTTACAGATTTGGTGATGTAAAAAAGCACTGAGGCCATCAGTATCATGGATGATCCACAGAACAGCAGGGAGAATTATGTCTCTCCTAACAACTCTGAGATACCATAATCTCTGTTTTCATAGAGCAGAATTCAGCCCTACGTTAACACTTCATCACTGCATGTCCCTACATTTTCACTCAGTTACTATTCAAAAACATCATCTTTGTTTCTTTCATTGCCACTAGAAACACTTCCTAGGCGCAGGTTCTTTGTTTTGCAAACAGAGGAGACTTTTGCCTTTTCAGATTTTGTTTCAGGTATCTGTAACCTTCAACATCTTGTTTCAAAACGTGCTGACTCCAGCTATTATTAGAAGACCATGTCCCTGGCACCCTTACTAGTTACCTGAGTTCTCTGGTGTTTCATTTTGAAACAGAAATGAGTAAAAGAAAGGTCTGACAGCTAAAGAGAGATCCTTAATAAATGAAATAGGGCTCACAACATTGCGATTAGCCATGCCATTAGATGGTGAGCTCTTGGGAAGGAGTGAGAAGCCAGCTCCATTCTTCCAGAAGGAGGGAGCCTCGGCTGGCTTTAGACACGTGCCCTCAAATCCCCACTATTCCCATAACCACAGAGCAGCTCTGCCACCGCTGTAGGCTTCAAGCAGAGGGAAATGGCAAGACAATGTGTTCCCATTTCATCCATGCCAGCATCCCAGCTGGCAGCAGAGCCTGGAAAGGCCCTGGCCCCATCCTGGCAGAGGTCTTCACCTGCCCCAAGCAGGAGCTGGGCACTTCTCCTGCGGTGTGGGAGCCCAGCCCACTGGAGAGGCAGGAGCCCCCTCTAGTGGGGCCACCCCACTGCCACCCGGGTCGGTGAACTTCTCAAAAGCACCTCTCAGAAGGGACACTGCCAAGTGGTGGGGTGGGTCCGGGCCAGAGGTGGCTGAGCCCAGGGTCTGGACTCTTGCTGGCTGTGCCTGGAAGGATGTCTCGGGCTCTCGGATGGCTTTGCTGCAGCGTGGTCCCTTCTGCTTTTGGCACCTTGTAAGACAGAGGCTTTCTCCAAACAGCCAGCCTTCCCCTAGCATCTACCTTTTCCCAGACTGGTGTGTAGACAGACATAAATGTGATTTAAAGAAATGCAGCTGATTTTATTGCAGGTGCACTTCATAACATGAGGATGAACCCTGCATGGAAACACAGAATTGCTTTTGCAGTTCTGAAACTGCAGAGAAACAGCAACACAGTTAAGCAAGTTCCCTCCTAACAGGAGAGCACGTCATGGAGCATCTGTCAGGAGCTGAGCGTTAGTGGCAGGGGCGGGGGGTGTGGG